GGCATCGAGCTGCTGACCTGCGTGCCCCGCACTGTGGAAGAGATTGAAGCGTGCATGGCAGGTTGTGACAAGGCCTTTAGGTCCTTCTCTGGCCCCAAGTAAAGCCAGCCAGAAATCCCAGGGCACCTGAGCGCCTGGCCTTGCAACCTCTCTTCGCGACAGGCAGCCTGCTGGTCAGCACTCCAGCGGTGAGAGACGGCGCCCAGAATCAGATCCCAGCTTCAGCATTTGATCAGACCAAACGGTGCTGTTTCCTGGGGAGGAAGCACTTTCTTAGTTACCCTTTTGCAGGCTCACACCTTGCATCTGTTTTATATCTTGCTTATTAAATGAGCGACTTAAAATGATTGAAAGTAATGCTGTTCTTTAGTAGTAACTAAACTGTGTCTTGCTGTCATTTATATTTTCCCAGGAAAGGAGCATTTCTGATGCTTTCTCTCAAAAATCAATATGCAGAATGGCATTTGCAATAAAAGGTTTCATAAAATGGTCCTTTGTGCACGGCTTCCCCTTTATTCCTTTGCACATAGCATTTGGGACCCATGCACCTGAAAAGATGGCTCACCTGGTATCAGTATGAAAAGTCAAGTTCCAGGAAAATGGTGCTGGTGACGCAGGCCCTAACTGCTGCTTCTGCCTCAGACTGGCCTGGTGGGACAAGGGCAGGGTCCTCCCCAAGGAGCCTGTTTTGAGCCCCTGGGACTCAGGGCTTTGGTGTCACCCTGTCACTTGCTGCAAGGCTTCCCAAGCCTAACAGGCATCAGAACCAGTGGGACACCTGGTAAGAGATTCCTGGGACCCCCTCAGACCATCTGACTCAGAATCTCTAGGGGCAATGGCCTAAAAATCGTGTATTTCACAGGCGCCCACCACATGCTCCTGAAAGACAAGGGTGAGAAGTGCTCCCAGGCAAGGCGGCTTTAGCTTCTCAGTATCAGCGCAGCCTGAGGTCTGAGGTGGGGGCAAGCAATCCTGCAGGAAGATCCTAGGCACTCAGGTCAGACTGGCCGAGTCACCCCATGCCATGCCTTTGTGCACGTTAAAGGGCAGACTGGTAACAAGCCTTTTTGATATGGTTACTGCCTCCAAACTAGATTTCTGAAGGTGGTAGAATTAGGTAGAGCTTGAAGTACAGATATTTAAAAGCTGAGACTTGCAGGGATCTCTTGTCCTCGATTTCTTTTTCACGTGGGACACACTAGCAAAGCCAGCATCTGTCGGAGACACTCCCAACAAAGGCAGCGCCACCGCGAATTTGCAGAGACTGTCCTCCTGAACTCCAGGCAGGAAGCCAGCCAGCGCCCAGCAGTGCCTGGTGAAGTATCCATCCTTGCCTCTGTTTGTCCAGTTCTCCCAGGGTCCCACAGAACAGCCCACCCCTGGAGCTGGTTTCCGGAATTCTGTACACCCTTCCAGATTTGCTTCCTCACAGAGCTTCCGTCCAGGAGTTCCCACGCCAAGGTGAAGGACACGTGAGAAAGGTATCACAGATGAAATGATGAGGGAGAGGAAAACTGTGGCTCAAGAGGACATTTTAAGAAGTCACCAAAGGCTGGGCATGGTGGCTCACGCCTGCAATCTCAGCAATTTGATCACTTGAGGTCAGGAGTTTGAGACCTGCCTGGCCAACATGGCAAAACCCCGTCTATACTAAAAATACAAAAATTAGCTGGGTGTAGTGGCATATGCCTATAATCCCAGCTACTCGGGAGGCTGAGGCAGGAGAATCTCTTGAACCTGGGTGGCAGAGGTTGTGGTGAGCCGAGATTGCACCACTGCACTCCAGCCTGGGCAACGGAGTGAGACTGCCTTAAAAAAAAAAAAGTCACCAAAGAGTTGAGTACAAGTTGATTTCCTCCCATGGTAATATCACAAAAGTACTTATAAAGTGGTCACGTTAAAATAAAAGCCAACCTCAGTTCCAAATCACCATTTATCTGATCTGCCTCTTAGATTTATAACATCCATTCTTGAAGGTTTTCTGCTAGTACAAATACATTCCCTAAGCTAACCATTTGTGACACCGAGCAGCAGTAATTGTGTCTTTTTGGCCAGGTACAGTGGCTCATGCCTATAATCTCAGCACTCTGGGAGGCCAAGGCCGAAGGACCATCTGAGACTGGGAGTTCAAGACCAGCCTGGGCCATCATAGTGAGACCCGCCCCACCCCCCAAACATCTCTTCAAAAAGTAAAAAAAAAAAAAAAAAAAAAAAAAAATTAGCTGGGCATGGTGGCATGTGCCTATGATCCCACCTACCCTGGAGGTTAAGGTGGGAGAATCGCTTGAGCCCAGTTCAAGGCTGCAGTGAGCTATGATCCCACCACTGCACTCCAGCCTGGTCAACAGGGCTAGAACCTGTCCCTTAAAACAAACAAACAAAAAAAAAAAAACTGTCTTCTGAGCGTAAGGAAAGTTACACCAAGCACTCCTCCACCCCTGCTCCCCCGTGACAAACACGGTCTGGTGTACAGGGCTTTAATTTCCGCCGCTTTCAGGATAAAACCACTCAGTCAGGTTGAGGCTCGAAATGGACAGTTGAGTTCTGTTAACTGAGAAACACAGCTGAGTGCATCATACACCTTTCTCCTTTCAGACATTCCATACCAAAGCTGCCTGTTCCATAAACGTCTCTGATCAAGAAGTGGACAACAAAGGAGCAAGGAGAAATCTCTATTTCCACCTAAACGCTCTATCCAAGGTCACTAGGAACATAAAGGTCATATGTTTTTCCTGAGCCAGTAGGTCAAAGGGTGTTCTTTTAAAAATATGTTTAAAATAAATAGAGATAGGGTCTTGCTATGTTGGCCAAGTTGGCCTTGAACTCACGGCCTCAAGCAATCCTCCTGCCTTGGCCTCCCAAAGTGCTAGGATTACACGCGTAAGTCTCTACCTGTTTCATTCTTTGGAAGCACAGGTCTAAAGGGCCAGCAGTAGCTACCTCCTCTACCCCTGTGTTTGTATCTGCCTCTTCTAACCTCTGCAGAAATTCATGTAGCTTTAGGAATGCATGAGAGACCCTTCCAGAAACTCTATGCTAAAGCCCTTCCTGAAACTCTGTGTCTAGGTATTCATTCAATAATTGAGCATCTTCTCCGCTCGTGCAGGATACAAACATGAGCCCTCCCTCCAGAGCCTCCTGTCGCCCCAGAGGCTTCACCTCAAACCCACGTGAACAAATATATTGTCTCAAACACTGCAAAGTGCTGTGGAGCAAGCAACAGGATAGGCTTTGTGTAGAGATCCGGGGGCTGAGACAGAGGAAAGAGCTTATTAGTGAAAAGCCAGAAAAGATACTCCAGACCGAAGGAACTGTCCCAGAAAGGGCAGAAAAGAGCTCAGAAAAGCCCTAGAGCCAAAGCAAAGTGACACAGGAGGGTGGAGGGAAATTAAGTTGACAAGGGGAAACGCCATACCACAAGGAGACTAGGTCTCACCCTGGGTGCAATGGGGAGCAACAGATGGTTCTGGAGAGCAGGCAGTGATGCTGCCATCCAGGAGCCATCACCAAGTCCTCATCACCAACGAGGAGCCAGTCACCAAGTCCAGGCAAGAGGATGGCTCTGCATGGGGAGTCAGGGTGGGGGAAGCCGACAGGTACAGGTACAGGAGCTACACTCGGAAGGCAGAAGTGAAAGGTAGTGATGCAGAAGCACATCTGGTTCTAACAGCTGCTTTAAAGGGAGGGATGGAAGGTGGCGTTTGGGCTGCAAATAGTCTAACCAGTGACTGTTTCATTGGCAACTCTATTCCAAGTCCAATTCTATAACCTCCATTTCTCTAGATGCCTCTATACAGCTTTCAGGCCTAGAGCTCTGTGAGGAGTGGGATATTGCAGTAAAAGAAAACCTAGACACTGCCGTTCTCTGAGTGGATGTAAAACGCTTATGAACTGTCTGGCTAGGCACAGGCAGTGGATAAGCAGGTCTAAAAAGACCTGGCCCCTCACAAACATGTCATCGCTCCCTAAAATCATCCAAGACAGGCTGGGTGCAGCGGCTCACGCCTGTAATCTCAGCACTTTGGGAGGCCACGGTGGGCGGATCACAAGGTCAGAGATCGAGACCATCCTGGTCAACATGATGAAACCCCACTCTACTAAAAATACAAAAAATTAGCTGGGTGTGGTGGCGCACACCTAGAGTCCCAGCTACTCAGGAGGTTGAGGCAGGAAAATCGCTTGAACCCAGGAGGTGGGATCTCACCACTGTACTCCCACCCTGGTGACAGAATGAGACTCTGTCTCAAGAAAAAAAAAAAAAAAAAAATTTCCCCAAGACAAGTTACTGGATTCTAAATTACAACTAATTAAAAAAAATGAAACAGGCCATACTTCCCATAGAAATAATTCCTGACCTCCACTTTTCGCTAAGATAGCAGCAAGCAGAAATTTATTTCCCAAGACATGAAAATAATTGAGGGATCACAGAAAAAAAACATTTAAATGTCATTCCCTTGCAATATTCAATTCACATCAGCTCCCTGGACTCATAATGTTTATGAAATCAGCGAATTCATCTCTACAGACACTCTATGGTATAACATAAATGAAGATGATGTCTACATGTACTACAAAACTCCAGAGGGGAAAGGCCTTACTTTACATTTTTGACTTTCTACCTTAAAACATAAGAATTTCTTCCTTCTCTAAATGGAAACCATGCTCCGAGACACTAGGTGATTAAGTGGGAACTCATTTCTTCACTTATTCCTTTCCCTATTCTGGTATAATTTTTAATTTAGACCAAGTGACTAAAAATATAACTAAAGATGTATCCCATCTTCAGAGAAAACTATTTTCCTATCCACTAAGGGCAACTGGGGAAATCTAGGCTCAGACACAAATACCTCTGCCTTCTCCCTGCTTTCCCCACTCCCAACGCCGGCTGTCCAGTGCGGGAAGAGGAAAGACAGCAAGGCACCTGCCTGGGCATCCCAGCTGTTCAACATCTGAGTCACTTTTCAGTATCTAATACGAAGAAAGCCACAATGAAAGACAAGTCATTGTTCCAAAGTTGTTTTTTATTTTAAGTTTGTTCAAAGAAATAAAATTATATTTAAAAAAATAGAGAAATCTCACAAACTGAAGAAAGCCAGGAACAAAAAGAACAAGTTAGTACTTTTTCCTGAGAGGCAGATCTAACAGCTGCAGAATGGTCTTTTTCCTTCCCAGCTTTTGTCAAACAAAACAATTCTATTGCTAAGGCATCAAAAAGCACTGAGTGCAAAACGGGTTGTTCAGGTAAAAGGTCTCAAGCCCTCTAATGGCGATTAGAAAACGTGAAAAGCCGCTACAATTTCCTCTCCTTTCATATCAACTGTTAAATTGCCTATGCTTCTACTTTTTATGTAAATTTGAGAATTTCACACACATGACCTGTATTTCAGACCTGGTTGTGTTTGATTAAAATCTTACTACTTAGTATCTGCACTGGCATCCCAACAACTGATTTCAGGGGCCAGCGGCAGCAAGAGCTGCTCTGGTCTCACCACCTGCAGCCAAACGCAGCCAAAATGCACCCAACCCAGGAGACTCAGATGTGCTAGAAATTTACACTAAAGCCTAACTCCTAAAATGATGGACCTGCCCACAAGGGTAGATCACATCCTAATGGTTCATAGGTCACACACAGAACGAAGGTTACAAAAGTCACCTTAGAAGTCCCAAAGCTCTAAATGAATTCATTCCCACACTTGGTTTCCCTAATTTTATACTGATAAATCTATCAAATTAAAAGCTTTCATTTCCAACCACTTCAGACAGACAGACAACTTGTTCTCTGCGGAATTGCTTGCTTGTGCTAAACTTTGGAGATGCATGGGTAAAAGGAAAGCCCAAATTATTTTTCCGAAAGTTCCAATCTTGTGTTCTGATTTGAAATACTGCATACACACCTCCGATGATTTTCCTGAAGTTTCTTTTTCAAGATACTTAAGTCAATTCATATAACTGACAAGGTCAATTCATATAACTGGTAACCATAAATTCCATGAGGGCATCGAATTCCCAAAGGTATTTTTTAGTAAATAAGAGATTTAAATGTCTGTAGCATCTACCATAGGTACTTATAGATTCAAGTGACCTATGCATCTCCAATTAAGTTAATTATGTAACACCAATCAGCTGCTAAGGATCCAATAGGATCCTGTGGGTGTGTCCTGGCTAGTTATTCAAAACATCTCTCATCCTTCATGAGTAGATCCATATTCCAAGGTAAGCGGTATTGGACCCTAGAAACCCCCATCCTGTCTCCTGGCTCTATTGGAAGTTAATGGCCCTCCTGGGACAGCATCTCCTGGGCTCCTGTCTTACATTCAGAAGGGCCTTGTGACCCTAAGAATGGCTTTGCTGAGTCACTGGTCACCATGATGTCTTCTCCTGCCCAGAAGAATGGCACTGATCAGCACTCTTCCACCAACCCAAGGGTGCAACTTGAGTTTCATTCCGGTTACATCATTCCCTAGTCCTGGTATGAAACGGCAACATGGCCAAAAATGACCATGTTCAAATAAGATACCTGGTAACACAAACTTTTAGATCAGATATGACTCAGTCTCTCATCTCTAGCCCAGGAACACACAAAAATGCACAAATTTGAGCTAGAACTGTGCTAAGAAAAAAAGAGTAAGAGAGAAAAAATGTTGACAAAGACAATCTAAACTACCAACACTGACATAAGCCAGACTCTAGAGAGTCCCTACTTCAGTGACTGCCATTTTTTAGTCTCAACAAAAATGTCAATATCCTGAGTTTTATCAGCATTTTCTAAAATAATTTATGGGACACAAAAGCATATAAATGAATAAACAGAAGCAGTGGTACAAAGTCAGGAAAGCCCACTAACCAGAAAAAGAAATCTCACAAAAACAGTATCAAAAGATGTATTTAAGTGAAATAAATTAAAGGTTAAAACCTTACACTTTCAAGTTTTCTTAGACAACTATTTTGGGAGATGGCATGGAGTTGATACATTTCTCTAATAATCACTTGGTTAAGATCAAATACCAGAATGAGCCTTCAAAAGACAAATTTTTGACTTTAAAAATAATGGCCCCATGGCAGCTAACTTGAACACAAGAGAAATTACCTTCTGAATTAATATCCTAAACCCTAATCAGCAGCTTGTGTCATCAAACTGTTAAGACATTCTGCTTACTAACTTGGGTGTCAAAATTGTATCCCAAAAAACACTTACTTAATTAGCATCTGCAGAAACTAAAATTTTGGTACACAAGTTTCTCTATACCACTGAGTTGGTTTTTTAGAATAAAATAATGCCAACCTAAGCCCAAAGGTATCCCAAAAATATCATTCCTATGCTTTAGTTTTATTTTTGTGTTTAATCTATTTGCTTCCTAAATGTTATTTGTATTTTTAAGTCAATTGGCCACATACTGCCTGTAAGATGTGATGAGGTTTCTTTACCTAACTGGACATCACTATTCAAAAACTTGTACTTTTGGGGAAAAACAGTACTAATTATGTTAAAACGAAGTTTATGCCATACATAAAATCACACCAAATTACACACTCATTGCTTTCTATAGCTCTAGGAATTTATAATACATAATTTAGAAGAAAAATCACAAATAGATTATCATAGGTGGCATTCAACTTTTCTTAATCTAATTCAGCCTATTCATTAAAACCAAGAACCTTCTGCATGGCCTGCCAGCTTCCCATTTCTTTTGTCAACTTAAAAAAGAAGCATTTCTTGGTATGTCAGGATTTATTAGAAATATTGGGATCCCGGATATTTTGTTTTTACCATATACCTTAACATCTGGGGGATTCTGATCCCCACAAAAATCTCTATCATTTAAAACCAGATATTCAAATTACAGGCTACCAGTTTTAGCTAATCAACTCTTCAGTGCTGATCCTAGAAAACAGCCTCCAATGGGTCTCTGAATAATGGAAAAGGACACCTTTCAGCCATTGACATGAATGGTGTCAGGCGGTCACACCTTTAACATTCAAGCCACAAGTTGTGAAGTCTGGAAAGGGTGCGGTCTACTGTCCTGAACTGTCAGCATCTGCTGTCGTATTTTCAGTGCTAATGGACTGTACGTTGTCTGCAAGGTTGTGTGCGTGCTCAAGAAACAAATCTTTGAGTACACTTAATTCCTTGGTCAGCAATTTGATTTTTGCTTCCAACCGTTCATTCTCTTCTTTGAGCTGATTCACTCTCTGCAGTGTGTCTTGTGCTTTCTGCTTGCTTTTCAATCGGCTCTTTTTCACAGCCATGTTGTTCCTCTCTCGGCGCTGCCGATACTCGTCACTGTTTCGATCCATGGGCGAGCTCTTTTTGCTCTGCTTGCTGGGAGCCACGGCTTTGCCTCCTCCCCCAGGGCCAGCAGGCACCAGCTGAGGGACTTGCTGTAAGCCGCTGGCATGTGCCTGGGTATGGATAACACTAATTCCGTTCACCCCTGGAGTGCTGTTTTGCTGCGATATCTTGCTCATTTGGCCACTCTCCCTTGCCAACATAGAACAGGCAGAAATGAGGGCAAGGTGATCAATGGTTTCCACGCTAAGCTGCCAAAAACTCTTCACATGTACCTAGTTAAAAAATAAATTGCATTAAAATGTTTGAAATGACAGGATCAAATGAGATTAAACTTGTATGTACCTAACATCAGGGCAACATTAATTGATTCTGCTGAGAAGTCTACAGCAACTGCCAACTGTTCCAATGTTTCAGAAGTCTAAATCCTTTCACTTAGAAAGGCACCATCAGGCGAACTCGGCCCACCTGGATACCTGAGGGCACTGCCCCTCTGTGATTGTTATCAAAAATGGGAGGAAAACAAAAGACTGCCACTAATTAGGTAGCGCATGTGAACTAACAGCACTGACAATCTGCCGGGGAGAGGCTGCAGCTGACTGTGGACACCTGCAATGAAAGGGGGGGAAGTTTCCATTGCTGGCTCAAGTCAAAACAGAAGGCTGGGGTGGTGCCCCTGTCTCCAGTGTTCGTGAGGAATATCATGCTACTGCTGTGGGTTCCATGTTCTAATATGCAGAGAAGGAGCCATCGAGGACTCAAGTTCTCTCCCAGAGCTCTCTTTATGGGAGAGTTTGAAAAGGTAGTTTTTTGCTTTATTTTTTAATGACCTCAAATGATAATTCCACATTTTAACAAAATTTACTGAGTTAGTTTCTTGAATTTAGGAGCTCTGAGATTCAATTTGTTCCCCATCTCACCGGGCTTGTAAAAAGTATGTGTTTTTCCTTCTTGACACAATTAATAAAACTTCTAAATATATTCAATCTGAAACCACAAGGAAAGAAACAGAAGCCCTAATGACGCATCCTAATGGGGCCCAGGCTGGACAAAGGGGTTGAGCAGCGATGGTGCCTGTGGCCACTTCACGCTACCAAATGAGCTTGTGTGAACTCGGAGGACGCACTAGCTCTGAAGCATCCCTGTGCGGCTGCCTGCAGAAATTAAGTCACAGTTTCAAAAACCCAGTCACATGTGGACTACTCTGAATCCTATCAAATCCCCATGGTTGCCCCAAGAAGTGTACAAGCATGACTATCCTATCATCATAAGACCACTTCAAGACAACTAAGTTTAGCAAACGGTATCCACCAAGAAATCATGGCACTCTTAGAAATTTAGAAAGCACTGTTAGGTACATAAAACTATCCTGTTCTCTTTTCATAAAACTGCTAAAATTACGTCAGTGGAAAAAATCTGGAGTCAGATTTATGCAGTGATCCCACAATGAGGGAAAGCTCAGTTAGCAAATACCAGTTACTACACCCAAACCTTCAGCCAGGCAATTCTGTACACTGTTTATTGGTCTCTTAAAAAAAAAAAAAAACTTTGCTTTAAAAAATCCATGTGTCACTACTTTCAACTGTTTTCAAAGCCACACAGCTGGCTCTGAGCTAGTAGGTCATTTGTTCTCACTCCAGCACTAAGGCAAGACAGAAAGCATCCCTCCAGAGCATGAGGGCTATCCACTCCAAGTCTACAGTAATGGACAGTTCACAATTTCCCTTGATCATTATCTGGTTGCCTAATTTTTCTTCCAGCGGAAAAGTGGCTGTTTGGTATTGATCAGAGCCACGCTTAGTGCCACCTAACATTATTATTGCTTATCTATTTGGTGTCGAGTAAGCAGAAGTGCTTTACTCAATTATTAAGAACTTGTTTAATGCAACACCTCTCCTAAGACTGTCTTAACAATCATGATCACGTTCACCTTATCACTCTACTTTTTAATATTTTTTATAGACCCATTATATTTTTAGCCTTTAAAGCTCTCTATAGTCAAGTTGGCCATGATCAGAGATAGCAATGATCCAAAGTGGTAGAGACCAGTGGCCAGGCCAGTTCCTGTCTTGGCTGTGGCTCCCCCTATTTTAGTTTGGGTGAATCTCTTTTCTTCGGTGGGCATCTCTTCCCCATATGCAAATGAGCGATGTGGAATGGTAAGACACTTTCTTATAGACAACACACCACGACCTTCAGTCACTAATAGCTCTTACTCACTACAGGGTCGATGTTCATGCCTGTTTCCGTATCCAAAGATACAGGAACAGGGAAGGGCTCTTTTATCTCTGTCTGACTCATCTTGCAAGTTACTAGGCTGAACATGTGTGGTAGGCGAGGTTTTGAAGGTAAGCCCTTTGGCCTGAAAAGAGTATTCACGGAATCTACAAACTGGTGAAAATGTAAGAAGAAGAAACTTGGAGATAATCAAAATAGCTCCAAGAATGTTTTGTTTAAAAAGTTCTTTAGCCATATAAATAGCTCTTAGAGTGAAGAGAAAAATAACGGAAGTAAGGGAATCAAAGAGCTAAGTGGTTTTACACTGAAAAGGGGGCTCTCATTTATGCTTTTGTTCCTTCCACACACATTTACTGAACACCTACAACAAGCAAAAAAGGTTTATTTCAAAGCTGGATAGTCAGTCCTAAATCGAAGTGGGGCTCCTCTGCGGACAAACACAATTCCAAAGTTCAGGCTACAGGAAGCAGGGCGGCGCCTGGCTTCCTTCCATGTGAATCACTCAAGTAGGAAACAGCAGGAAAGCTGAAGAGCAGTGGTTCTCAAAGTGTGGTCTCTGGACCAGCATCGCCATCATCTAGAACTTAGAAATACAACTGCTCAGGCTGCCCCCAGACTTAGAATCAGGAGTTCCAAGAACAGCGCTGAGCCATTTTTTCATAAGGGGACCTCCAAGGAACTTTGACGACACTGAATTCCGAGGGCTTCTGCTGTTGCTTCCCCATGAATATTGAGAATGGTGCACTAACTGGGTAACAGGCTTTGTTTTAATTCAAACTTAATTCAAGTAATGTTCATTCATGTCAGTCACTTTACTGAAAGCGCAGAATGCTAAAATGAATAAAACAAAAATTATTCTCAAGTTTCACCTGGGAAAAGAAACCTAGCAAGAATTTTCCTAACCCCTTTGTCCCTTTTTTCCACATACCTAGAACCCAATATTCCTCCCCTTGCCCACTAAAATAAATTCTTCACTCAATTTCCTCAATGAAAGTCAGCATTTCAAAATAGTCATAGATGTTTCTTCCTGCTCCTAAATCTGTCTAGTCTTTGGGATTTGAGAATTCTACCTAAGACAAACAAAAAAAAACAAAACAAAACCAATTTCCATCTCCCCTTCCTCTCCATCCCAATGCCATCAAAATCACCTTAGGCCACTATCATCTCTCAGGGACACTGGTCTCTGGTCTAGCCTGCTTCCTCCAACCTCTGTCTCCAGAGTAATCAAACACTCAAACCTGACTGACTCACTCTCCTGCTGAAAATTCATCCCTGGCTCCAGTCTACAGGATCAAATCCAAGGTCCTGACCCTCTCTCCTCCCTCACATCCCATCTTGACAGTACTAAACCACTATGTATATCCTCAACGGTCTGTGCTTTCTCTTTTCTTTGGGCTTCTGGGAAGATTTGTTCTAGGTCTGTCAGCTCCAGCTGCATCGTGCGTCTCCCTGCAGATATTCGGAAGGGGACGTCCCCCTTCTGGGAGTACAGAAGCGGGTCACTGGGGCATGAGAAGGAACATCAACATCGCCTTTCTAACCCAATCCTTTTGAAGTGATTTACAACACACAAAACAAACAGATTGTTTGTAAAGAAACATCCATTAGGAGCTCATGCTTTTTTTTTTTTTTTTTTTTTTTTTTTACACTGATAGAGCTAGAAAGCCACAAACACAGGGGGCCAGTGTACCCATCAATATAACAACCCATAGAACCAGCCCTCCCAAGAATACACAATACACCTGGAATCGTGGCTACCTGTATTTACCATTACTATGACCAAGTGAGGCAATCTTAGACCCTAAGACCAAATTCAGTTCCATAAGGTCCTATTTGTCTTTACCAAGGGCTCCACATGCAGTGTTTAATTTCCCAGGGATGAAACCATCACTCCAAGATCAGAGAGCATTGCGGACAGACAGAATGTGCTCTTGAGAATTTAAAGGACTTTCTCAATGAAGTTTTGTTTTCACCTACTTTTTTCTAAAGGCAGGTATTAAAAATAACTAAACCAGCCAAGTGTGCCCACCAGAAACAGGAATCAAGAAGTTGAAATATGCTTCAGCTCCCTGGTATCCTATAATTATTTAGCCTTGTTTACAGCAACTTTTTCCGGAAGCAGAATCAACCTTACGAGCAGCTTATCCCAAATACTACTCAAGGGCTAACAGATGACCACATCTTAAACATCAAGAGCTTCTAGACGTAGAATGTCTTCGTAAATTAAGCCCTTATAGGATCTTCTTTTACAATTTTCTCTGGGAGTCACCTTTCTCGGGGAGAAGTCGGCCTTAAGAGACAACCTATTCATCGAAGCAGTCAATTTTGACACGACTACCAATTCGGGTGCCACCCACCAGCACTGAGACCTTTCTAAACCACACATTTCAGGATGCCAGAGTACAGTATAAACCTCAAACAAGAGGAAAACCAAACACGTAAACCTGCGGAGGAGCAGCAACGCACAAGCCGCCCTGGGAAACACTCTCCTCCCCCCCACACATGCATTTCCATCCTCCGCATCTGGGCACCTCTGCTGGCTGTGTGCCCTGCTTCGCTCCCTCCATGCCCGTGAAGTGCTTCATTTCTTCTCCTTCTATTTGACCCGTGGGTGTTGTGTGTTCTTCTAAACTACGCTCAGCAGCAAAGTGCAGGACATTCAAACAGCTCCAGAAAGAAGCAAAATATTTTCTCTGCAAACTCAAGCATTCAAAAACCAATTGCCTTCCCTATCTGATTGATCAGTCTTGGAACTTCTCAACAGATTTTCGATCACCGCAGGCTGAGCCGTTCCGGAGGGGCAGGACTCTAAAACCCGATTCGGTCCACCTTCAGCTATTCTGGGAACACCCTTCATCCCCGGGGGCCAATGCGAGCCTGGCCAGTCACACCGCCCGTCTCACCAAGAGGGGGCCGGGCTCCGCGGGGGGGCACTCCCCGGCAGTCCGCGCGCTCCCGACCCGCTGCGAGGGGCGCCCCAGGCAGCGCGGGGGTCGGCGGGCGGCGCCGCAGCACTGGGCCGCGGCCAGGAATGAGCTCAGCGTCCCCGCCGGGTGTTGCCGGCAGGTTGCATCAGACGCAGAGCCGCGCCGCCGCCCGCGCCTCCAGCCTCGCGGGGCCTTCCTGGGCCAGTCGGCCGTCTGGGGCCGGGGCTGGGTTTCCCCGAGCCAGGCCCGCGCCCAGGCAAGCGGCAGGCGACGCCGCGGCCTCCTCCTCCCCGCTCTCAGGGCGCCCGCCGCGACCTCCTTACCTGCGCCTCCAACCCGCCCGCCCCCAGGCGGCCTCCACTCCGAGCGGCCCGGCGCGGCGCGGCCCGAGCCGACCCAGGCCTCACAGCCCGCGAGTCAGCGAGGAGGAGCGACGGTTACGAAACCGGCAGCCTCCGCCCGTTCCGCAGCCGCGGCCACCGGCTTCCCCGCCTCGCCGGGGCCGCGCGCGCCGCCGCCGCCGTCCGGACCAATGGGAGCGCCGGCCTGCGGGAGACACGGCCTTCTCTCGCGACGGGCAGCGCTCTCGACCAATCGCGAGCCGCATGGCTACAGGAGGCGGGCACGCGGCAGGGGCGTGGGCTCGGCTCTGCTGGCTCCGCGGGTGTGGCGGGAGCAGGCGGCGGCTAGTTGCGGCGTCCGTGGTATCTCGGCGGCTCGCCCGGGCTGGCGGCGGCCCAGTGGTGTGGACGACTCAGGTTTGAGTCGGAGGCCGAAGAGCCGTCACCCTGTGGAGGCCAGCCCTGCCTTTGGAAGCATCTCCTGAGGTGCTTTTGGGAACACGGGTGACTGTTTTGGTTTTGCGGCGTCCCTTGGGAGTCCTCCCTCCTCCCCCGCGACGTCCTTCACAGCGTTTCTCCGCACGGAACGCCCCGCAGGCGGGCGGGCTTTGTCGCGGAAAAACGAGTGGAGGCCGAGGCGGGAGGCTGGCTTGAGCCCAGGAGTTGGACAGCCAAGCGAGACCGCATCTCTGTTATTAATTTTTTAAAAATCGAATGCAGCCAGATGTTTCACACGTAGGATTAGCACTGATGCCACATGCGTGAAAGCTGATTCTGTGCTTCGTTGTTAGGGTGACATGAAGTGAATTTCCTAAATCGATCCCCTCTGGGTGCCTTCCAGGTGGACGTGTGCGAGGTGATCTCCAAAAACGAGCATCAATCCGGTGTGACTTAGAACTCACCGGGAGAACCTGAAAGCGTTTTAACACCAGGAAGCAGCAGCTCGCTGGGCGGAGGGCAGAGCTTGCCTGGTAGGTTTGATTGCTTCCTCTTTAGCAGTGCATATCGTTCAAAAAATTGAGGGTTTGAAAGAGGAAATATTCCTTCAGCGCCCATGGAACCAGCTTGCCCCGTAAGATTGTTTCGAGGAATCAGTAAGATGATAAAGCAAGACATTTAAAAAGGGGTCACAGTTGAAAGTGAACAATGGGCTGAGTGAGGTGGCTCAGGCCTGTAATCCCAGCACTTGGGAGGCCGAGGCAGGTGGATCATTTGAGGTCAGGAGTTACAGACCAGCCTGGGCAACATGGCAAAACCCCATCTCTACCCAAAATACAAAAGATTAGTCAGGTGTAGTGGCGCTACATCTGTGGTCCTAGCTACTGAGATGGGAGGTTGCAGTGAGCTAAGATTGAGCCACTGCACTCCAGCCAGAGCCACAGAATGAGACCCTGCCTTCAAAAACAAAAGTGAATAATGCTTGCAGATGCACACTTGGGAAAATAACAGTGTCATCGAAACAAGTGTGTTTCTTCACACTGGCTCTCAGTATTCCAAGCTGAAGTTTCTTTTTTTGAGACAGGGTCTTGTAATGTTGTCCCAGCTGGAGTGCAATGACACCATCACAGCTTGGTTATGGCTTACTGCAGCCCTGACCTCCTGGGCTCAAGCCATCCTCCTGCCTCAGCCCTCCAAAGTAGGTGGGATTACAGGCATGCACCACCACACGTAGCTAATTTTTAAAGAATGTTTTGTAGAGACGAGGGCTCACCATATTGCCCACTCTGGTCTCAAACTCCTGGGCTCAAGTGATCCTTCTGTCTTGGCCTCCCATATTGCTGGGATTATGGGTATGAGCAACCAAGCCTTGCCTGAAATTGCTTTGAGCAAGATTTTAGTACTATTAAAATAGATTGTGATTTATTGCTCACAAAATCGTGATTTTACTCTGAATATTTCCTAATCACTTAAAAAATGTGTGGGGAAAAAAAAAAACTTATAAAGGTATATTCAGTTATCCTCTGGTTTGCAAGGCGCTCTGCCAAGCTGGTCTGATGGGTCTGGGGAGGCCTGAAAGATGAACAGGGTTTGGCTGGGCACCACAGAGGATGTGGGTACAGCAGTCACAGGGAATTCTTGTTTGGAGTCCTGTGATGGGAGAAATTTAAGGCTAAACTGGCTGAAAGTAAAGTGGAGACCGACAAGCTAGCCAGGAGAAGCATTCAGATTTTGACCCTAAGAGATGGAAGCTTCAGAAAGATTTGCTCTCACCATAAGGAAATGAGAGCCTGGTGACGCCTCGGAGGTCTACTACGCAGCTTTTTTACAAACCGCAGGGACCCAAGCCGTCACAGTAAAAGAAAAATTCCCTGCATATCTCTCTGCCTCACTGGTAATCAATATATATTCTACAAATCCAAAGAATGAGTAGCCTCTGTAGCACTTTGGGAGGCCAAGGTGAGAGAATCACTTGAGGTCAGGAGTTCAAGACCAGCTTGACAACATAGTGAGACCCCTGCATCTCTACTTAATTAAAACAAATAAAAAATAAAAAGATAAAATCCCCTCCAAAGGACTTGGGAAGTAGGATGTCCTGTTCATTGAATATTCTAGTTCCCTGACAGTTACTGTGATTCACTGCATTAGTTACCTAAGAGATATGAATTCTAATGTTCACAGCTTCACCACTTAGTAGATGTGCAGCCTTGAGCAAATTGCTTAACCTCTCTGTTATCTGTAAATGGAGAAGACAGCAGTGTCGCTGTGAGGATTAAAGGAACGAGTGTGTTAGGCCCTTAAAACAGTACCTGCTTGGTACATAGTACAACCTCAAAAGTATTAACTACATGGCCAGGTAGAGCGGCCCACTCCTATAATCCCAGTACTTTGGGAAGGTGAAGCTGGAGTGCAGAGGCATGATCGTAGCTCACTGCAGCCGTGAACGCCTAGGCTCAAGCAGTCCTCCCACCTCAGCCTCCCCAGTAGTTAGGACTACAGACATGCATCACCACACCTGGCTTATTTTTAAATTTTTTTGTGGAGATGGGGTCTCCCTATGTTGCCCCAGTCAGTACTGGAACTCCTGGGCTTATGATCTTCCGCTCTCAGCCTCCCAAAGTACTGGGTATGATGGGTGGCATGTGCCTATGGTCCCAGCTACTCAGGAGATCTAGGTAGGAGGATCGCTTGAGCCCAGGAGGCAGAGATTGCAGTGAGCCTAGATTGGCCTAGGCAACCAAGTGAGACTCTCTCTCAAAAAAAAAGTATTAGCTGTTATTACCATGATGCTCACACATGAATTACAAACAAATTGCATCCACAGAATCATAGTGGACTGAAACACACTGTAAAATGAGGCCAAGCTGTGCTTATACTGCTTTGCTGATTCAGGCACTAAACACAGATGATACTGAAGGTCTCGATGTTGACCCTATGTTGTATCCTAGAAGGTGTTTTTTAGAGCAGTTCCTTAGTTATCACATCTTATTTCATTTGTTTCCACAAAGTAGAGTGGAGAAACAACTTAGTAATTTGAATTTTTTAAATTTGAAAGCCAGATCAATAGAAGTTTACTATGCAAACTGAAATAAGTTAATATATATTTGGAAAGTTTCTGAAAAACCAATGTACCAAATTAACCACTTTTGATAGGAGAACCGGACTGTATCTGTAATATTTGAAAGCTGGGAAAATGTCCGTCAGAGGTTTGAGTCTCAGCTGATGTGTCTTGCAGTATGTGAGTGATAATATGATATGAATCATTCTTCATTGGTTAAGGCTCTTTGGTTGGAATTAAGTGAAAACAATCTCCGACTAGCCTAAGCACTAGACAAGGCCTTGGTGAAAGATGTTAGGGCACTCCACGAAATACCCAGGTCATGTCAGAACCAAGAACAGATGTCTTTGTGTGTGTATGTTTCTTCCTGTTGATTTCATTATGCTTTCTGCTGGCACATAAACCTTCACAGGGCTAATGACAGTCTCAATGTTCATGGCTTCCGTCCCTAAAGAAAGGCCAAGTCTTTTTAAGTTCCTGTTCCAGCAGTCCTAGATGAGAACTCTCGGATTGGCACAGCTGGGTCACGTACTCATCTGGGAATGATCAAGGGTTAAGATCGTGGTGATGGATGAACATGGCTGCTCTGGAGAGGTTAGCAGAGGCTGATCTCAGAGGAAAAAGAAGGGCTGGACAGACAAATCCCCCAATATGCACTTCAAGTGGCAGATCACACTGTGTTCGCTCTGATAGAAGCCTTACTCATTCTGGCTGACTGATGTGTTCTTTTTTGTGCGATACGATCCCTGTGCTTGAGGGCAAAATGTAGACCTGCAGTTTTCTCTCTGGAAGCATGAAACACTGTTTGAAATCATAACAGCTGTGATGCTAAGTGGTTGTCTTAGGATATCCCCACATCTCATAAGCAAGTCCTGTGGATGATAGAGAAAAATCTGACAGTCTAAGCTTCAGCAGTTGGCAAGTACTGTAAATGCCCATTCTAAAGCACTTTTCAGTTTGTCAGATTGCATTATCCCATGAGTTGAGACACTTCATCTGTCTTAAGGATAAGTATGTGTCATCTCTGCACACAAAGGTATGTGAGCAAATGAAAATAGGTACATATCACCTGCACACATTAGGAGAGCCACATGCATCTGTGCACACACAGGTGCCTGTCATCTCTGCACATAAGGAGAGATGTGACGCCATCTGGGACTTGAGGCCAGGAGTTCAAGACCAGCCTGGGCAACATGGCAAAGCTCCATCTCTACTAAAATTACCAAAATTGGCTGGGCATGGTGGCACACACCTGTAATCCCAGCTACTCGGGAGACTGAGGCAGGAGAATTCCTTGAACCCGAGAGGCAGAGGTTGCAGTGAGCTGAGGTTGTGCCATTACATTCCAGTCTGGGCAACAGAGTGAGACTTTGTCTCAAAAAAAAAAAAAAAAAAATGGTGTTTGTGAGGTATGTGACACCAGTCTTCATCAAGGCAGTGTGATGGGCTTTGGAGACAGAACAGAGTGGTGTTGGCTAGCATTTAACCCAGCTAAACCTCCAGTCCTCATCTAAGGAGGATTGACAGTAAATATTTCATAGAGTTGTTATGAGGATTAAGTAAACCAACATGAAAAGGAGCTAGCATAGTGCCTGGCACATAGGAGGCACAAAATTAAGTGTTTTCTAGTGTGTTCAAGAATAAGTTGCTACCTAGGAGCCAGTTATTGGTTTCCAATATCATTCTCCAGTAACAGGAGCCGGGCCTCTTACAGAAGTGGCTGATTCTAGGGCTGGGGCAGGAAATATACAGTGTGAGCCCGGAGCATCTTGCAGTGTCAGAAAGGAAGTCCTCAGAAAGTGAAACAGTTGGGGGAGTGTGTCTCAGTCAGCTGAGGTTACCATCACAAAATACCCTGATAGACTTGAGGGCGTAAACAACACAACTTTGTTTCTTTCTAGAGGCTAGAAAGTCCAAGATCAAGGTGCTGGCGAGGTAAATTTCACTCTGAAGCCTCTTCTCTTGGCTTGGAGGCCGCTGCAGCCTCCCCGTGTGCTTACATGACCTCTTCTTTGTGCACTTGTTGGGAGTCGGTGTGGGGA